AAAGTAGCTTGTAAAACCAGAAGGAGCTCAAAATGTCTTCCCTGACATGGATTATCTGGTCACCCTAGATATTATTCCCCGACTGTTTATATAAAGCTATGGTTCACATTGTAGGCAGGGTCGTCGTTAATTAGGCCTGTTTGGGGGCGGGTGTCACACTTGCTATAGCTCCCGTGTATTGTGGGTCGAATCGTCATTTTGGGTGCATACAACACAGGAGCGAGTATTTGCGTGCGGCGTTATCTTTGGTAAGACGGGACACTAGTGCTGTGTGAAAGGCTGTCATACTAAGTCACATGGTAGAAATGGCAGAAAGGTGGACCACAACATGAGATTTTTTCGGTTTCCCACTTGGAGAAGAGGATATGGACAGCAGGTAGAGGAGGAGGCGTCGGGTGGCCTGGGTCGCAGCGGCTCTTGGCATTTTCATAAAGGCAAGTAAGATATTTTTGTTTAAGTAATATTACTGAATATGCATTTTTTTTGTCTTCTAAGGTTGGTTTTTTCACATTGGTTAACCTACGCTAGCAAGCTATCCTCACTACAGAGGGTAGCAGAAATGGGTTAATCCGTGTTAATCTAGCGTTACAGAGTGAATGCTTTTAAAAGACAAAAGTAAACAGCAAAACTGTAATGACACGTTTATCAGTGCATGTATGTGTATATTCGCGTGCATGGATTATAAGCGCCAATGCTGGATAAGGCTGTCACTGTGTGCTGTGCCCTGACAAACTAATGCCCAACTATAGTTTAAGTTTAGAAACATTTGCAAGTACGGTTTCTAACGTTTCACATGATGTCTGGAAGGATCTGTATAAACTCATTGTATACCGAGCCTGTATTCTGCTTGCCACTTAACTTTATCGGTCATATTTAAAATAAAATATGTCACATTATGTCCATGAAATGACATTTTTGTGTTCTTGACTCTCTTTTCCTTTCTTAAACACCTACATTGCTATTATGTTTTGGTAATGAAAATTGCTTATTACTGATTAATAAAACATTACATTTTTGTGGAGAAAAAAAACACAGAATATGAAATATTAAGTTTGTTAACCAAATGTGTTTACATACGCGATACACTCAAAATGGCGAAGGGGGACGTGTCAGACAGTGCAGACACGCCTCCATTCACCATTTGCTCTCAGCCCGCCCCAAGTAAAGACTCAGCTCTCCTATCCATTCATCTGTAACTGCGCCCCTGATTGTATATTAGGTGCGATATCAGTTTTTATCAAACAATCAGAGATTTTATACAGTCCGAAAAACATTTGTATCTCTTGTCTACAGGCGGCGTAGTCACGAATTAAAGCCCCGCATCAAAGAGCAGTTAATCTAAATACGTCAAACCAAGGGAAACAGCAGTTCAAAAGCTACAGGGGACCACAAAGATTCTCGCTAATGTGAGCCATTATCCAGAAACAGTAAACTATGCCTGTAATGACATTTTAAAAATCAATTTTTAAATTCAACTAAACATCTCATTAACCTTCTATACACAGTAATCACCGCAAAACCGTACTATTGTGGGAATGTTCTTCGTAATGTTACTGTCAGTTATACATTGTATATACAGTCAGGGGTGCCGTAAGGGGGAGGAAAGCTAGGACGATTCCTAGGGCCCCTGAGTGACAGGGGCCCTAAAAAATTAGGAAAATAACTGGATTGGTTTGGACTGGGGGGCCTAATATGATATGCTTTCATGGGGCCCAAAATCTCTAGCAACGCCCCTGTATACAGTAATGGTAATAACCGTTCCAGCAGATTTTTTTTCTACACTTTTCTGTATGTCAATCCGTCTCACATTCCATTATTATCAAGTACAGGATTGCAGTTGGATCTGATGCCAGGGAAACCGGGAGTAGAACTCACAACCTTTTAGCTCTGAACCCACAGCTACCACGACGTCACTAGTGGTCCTGGGCCCGCCCAAAGGAAGCGCAGGCCTAGCCAGTCAGCGTTGGGTTAGTGTTACCGATCAATAAAACGTTTGCCCGACGGGTATATATAGATTGATAAATATCAGTCGGAGGAAAAGTGCCATTGAGAAGCAAATATATTTTTCCTTTCTCTTTGTTCATTTGGTCTTAGTAATGCTTCTGAGTCTGTCGCCAAGTGAATTGTTATGAGACTGGCCTACCTGATTTTCTGCCGCCTACCCACAGTGCTATGTCCGTTATACAAGTGTGCAAGTTTATTTTGACGTTTTTTATGTTACAGCTATGAGATTTTTAAAATAACGCTGCAGAGGATGCGCTAGAACTTATAAACCCGGAATATCAAATGTAGTGTAATGGGTAGGCGCTACAGGAAGTCTATCGCTTTTACAAACCACAAATCGAAAAAAAGCGGTGAATCCTTTTTTACTGTCTGAATCGTTTAAAGAAGAAGTAATTATCCGTATTCTAAAGGCGCATAAACTGGGCGTTTAAAAATTATGTCCCGACGGGACTATACAAATAATTGCAAATGAAGATACAAGAACTAGGCTCAGCCAAAGCCAATGTTGAGCCTGTCACATGAGCTCCCGGGGGCGCAGTCACGGCCTGGCGAGGCGCATTCCGCACATTCCTCCGGTCCCCGAATCCCCACCTGACGTGAGCCCAGAAATGTCTAGAAGCGTTGCAGGGCGCAACCTGGTGACTTCGTATGTTTTTTGCATTTGATTTATTCAACTAAATATCTAAACTCCTGGAAAATTCTGGAAACTCTACTATAGAAGGTTAATCGCTCTCCCCGCTGCCTGACCTGTACAGTAAGTGATGTACGTCTTGTTTGCATAAGAAATATTATCCTCACCGTAACGTAAAGTGTGTATGTATATGTGTGTGTATAGAGACCCCCACACGCACCAGATCATTGCAGTACGCTATTAAAACCAACAGATGTCAGTATACACGTCACAAATAAAATTGGTGCCAAATATGGCTGTTGACTGAACCACATTTTGTGAATTACAATGGTGGCAAAGTAAACACACACAAAAAAATTGAACAAGGCTTTGGTCACTAAAAGCAATTAATTTCATGTACACCTTTAATATACACATATCCCTCCAGCAAGTATTGTGGATGCAAATTTTACAGAACCTTCATTTGCCCCCTGCAGCAGGGAGAGGACCATCTCCCAGTTTGCTTGCTTAACTTCCAAAGAGCATCAACCAACAGAACCACAGAAGAGCCCAACTTCAGACACAACAGTAAAAACTTTATTGGACACACAATTTTAGAAATTTTATTTTCCAAGATCAGGAATACTGTAGGCATTCATGAGTATTAAAATATCCACATATAAAAAGAATGACAGGAATTTCAAAGTGCTTTCTAAAGACAAAAACACAGAGACAAATGGACAGAGAGGACAGTGTTTAACCAGAAACCTTAGACAAATAGAGGGCTGGACAGCCTTTCAAAAATCAAGTAAATTTTACTATATAAATAAAACCTTAATTCATATACTCAACAATATTAAAGAATCAACATAACAGTTGTTTATACTCTGCTTTATTTAAGGTAATACACCTTTATTCATGAAAAAAGGACCATGATTGTTTGAGCTGAAATTCCAGGTGCAAATAAAAGGCTGGTACAATTATATTAAAAGTTAATCGTACAGTTTTTGTTCAATATTAAGGCACAAAATATACACTTCAGGTTCATGGAATATGGTTTAAAAAGGTCAAAACTTAAAATAAACTGTCATTTGTCATGCTGAGAGCAAGATCAAATAGCACTCTTTAAATGTCATGAAGTCCATATGTTGCGCAGACATAAAAATTAACATCTGCGTGATTCCTGCTTCTCACAGATGTACTGAGCAAAAAGCATGACCGAATAAAAACCCTCAGTACTAGGGCACACACTCAATGCCTGTGTGTCAACACACAAACAGCCAACAAATATACATATTTGGATCAATCTCTATTTGCTTATTTTTCAGTAGTTTGCAACATTAATCGTACTTAATGCAGAAATCCATTCTCTAACGTTAACCAGCTTTGGCGAGAAGGTATAAGTGTCTTACAAAGAACCAGATTGAAGACTTCAGCAAGAGTAGCATAATGCTAACCCTGGTCAGGAACACATTGAAAATAAATGAAGAGACACATTGACACAAAACAAAGCTTAGCTGCTGAACTTCTGTGTTTAAAGGTGACATGGGACCATAGTAAAGATGACCTTAAAACAAATGAAATCTCATTTGATCATTAAAAAGAAAAAAAAGGAAAAGGACATCCCGTCCGGCATACCAAAGCAGCAAGTTATTGACATTGTTTGACGAACCTCTTCAGGACCATGTCAAAAAACAGTATGTTTAAACAAATGGTACTGCACTGTGAAACAAAGTAACATTCTAACCAAAAGAAAAGAAACAAAATTCAAAGACCTGTATACCATTAAAAAAAAATTTAAATTGGCTGCCCGCCACTTGAGGGCGCCAGATGAATTAGTAAATGCTTGTTCAATCCCACAGCACCTGGCAGCAGCATCATCCATCTCAGCATAATTCCTGTGTCTTTTTACAATTCATTACAAAGTAAAGGTCCTCTTTTTTGTTCTTAGGCTCAGGTCCTCTCCTGGAGACCGACCCAGCCCTGTTGGAAGGAAGCAGCACTTTTTTGGTGGAGGGAAGGGCTGTAACCAAGGAAACGTGGTTTATGTGCAGGTCCTGAGGCCTGTTTTGATTAGCCTGGGCTTGCTTTGGCCCGGCCTTATCGACAGGTGTGGCTGTCCTCTTTACAGCAGACACTGTGCTGTGGGTGACATCTGGGACCAGCCCAGACGTGACGAGTAAAGCGTTTTCCGAAATGGTTCTGACAGAGGGCTGGGTTTTGGTAGTGTGGCTGTAGCCTTTAGATGGTGCGGATGATTTGGGTCCCGTCTGGCTCTTAAAGGCCTGTGTCCTTGTGCTGTGCTGCACAGCCTTAGCTGCACGACTTGGGGCATGGGCTGGGTGGGATGGTGCCTTCAGAGTGGAGGGGCCGGTTTGACAAGCCCCCTGAGTGGACAGTGGAGGAGGGACCTGGCATATTCCTCTCAGCAAATGGGTGTTCACACGACGCTGAGAAGTAGTGGGCCTTTGAGAGAGTTTTGTGGGGACTAACTGGCGGGGTTCTCCCCGCTGCCTGATCGCAGCTCTCATATTCCGCTGGCCTTCCTCCACCAGTGTGAACGGCGGGCGTCTCATGCGAGCGGCAGGGGGCGGGGCCACAGTCGGCAGGCAGGGGTATTTACATGCGGGCTCAGAGCCGACCGGGCTCTGCAGCTGGGATGGGACACTGCAGCTTGAACCTCCAGGACTGGGTGGAGGTGCCCAGGAAGGAGACTGGGTGGGCTGGCTGGCGTCACTGGAGGTTCCATTTTGTGGTTGAGGAGGGGCTGGAAAGACCAGCTGCAAAGTCTTCTTAGGGGCAAAAAGCTTCCGAGGCAAGACTGGGGTGCTGGCAGGACAAAGTGGAGCCGCCTTCCTGGATGGGATTTGGCCATTAGCGGACGATGGAGTTGCTGCCCTTTTGGAGAGGCTTTGGGTGGCGGAAGGGGAGGGGGTTACGGTCCGTTTTGTCAAGGCTTTAGTAGCGGCAGGGGACGGGGTTACGGTCCTTTTTGACAGGGTTTGGGTGATGGCAGAAGATGGGGTTACAGTCCTTTTTGACAGGGTTTGGGTGATGGCAGAAGATGGGGTTATGGTCCTCTTTGACAGGGTTTGGGTGATGGCAGAAGATGGGGTTATGGTCCTCTTTGAAAGGGTTTGAGTCGTGGCAGGGCATGGGGTTACAGCCCTTTTGGAGAGGGTTTGAGTCGTGGCAGGGCATGGGGTTATGGCCCTTTTGGAGAGGGTTTGAGTCGTGGCAGGGGATGGGGTTACAGTTCTTTTTGACAAGGATTGAGTGGTGGTAGGTTGTGGGGTTATGGCTCTTTTGGAGAGGGTTTGAGTCGTAGCAGGGGATGGGGTTACAGTTCTTTTTAACAAGGATTGAGTGGTGGCAGGTTGTGGGGTTATGGCCCTTTTGGAGAGGGTTTGAGTCGTGGCAGGGGATGGGGTTACAGTTCTTTTTGACAAGGATTGAGTTGTGGCAGGTTGTGGGGTTGCTGCCCTCTTGGACAGGGTTGAGGAAGCTGCAGTCACATGGGTCCCAGGCTTTGCTGACGACTCAGTGAGACTGACTGCTGTTATAGGGTTCATGCTGGGCAGCTGGGGGGTCTTGCTGGCAGGAGGGACAGCGAGGGGCATGCCCGACGGATTCTTCTGGAAAGCTTGGATCTTCTGCTCCAATGTGGTGAACTGCAGCACTCGGAGCGGGTCGTACTTGAGCAGGAAGCCCTGCAGCGTGTCCCAGCCACCCCCCACACGTACCATCACATGCTTCCCGTGCAGCATCTGCAGGACAGAGCGAGTTAGGGATGGGACCCGGAAGCGGGTCGCCGGTCTCGCACAACAGGACTCACCCTGATGAACAGGATCTTGTCGCCCAGGCGGTAGCGGCCCTCTGACAGGTACTCGATGGAGACCCGATTGGCGCAGTCACAGGGAGGGCCATCTGATATGTCCTGGACCTGCAGGACGACCCATGTTCCGATTACCACATTTGGTACAACAGAACCGAGAGCGCTTAAGTAAAATTTTAGCAAATATCATACATGTTCCACACATGTTCTATTACATCACAGTTACTATGTCAGATGTTAACATCTTAGCTAAAAGTGGCCTGCAATTTACCAGCAAGCCCAACAGGTCTTACCCAGAAACCAGAAACATCACCATATAAAACTCCATTCAGTGGCTTAGGACTAAGGCTGCCTTTCGGAGCGTAACCCTACACCTGGCCTTTATTGCCGAAAGTTCCCAGACATGACAGTCGCCATTCCCACGCCTCCTCGCAGGGGATTGTGTTTCCCAGGAAGCCAGACTTGCCTCCTCCCTGAGCACCCCGGGCTGAGGGTTCCAGAGGCCAAGGGGCCCCCGCAAAGCTGCCTCGCTTCCCATAAACGGCACGGGGAGAGAGGCTGTGGACATCCAGCCAGCTGTGACATACAGCTTCAGCAGAAGCATTTTATCATCAGCATCCCTGTGAGTTTTTAAACCTGAAAATGGGTCAGCTATCTAGTTCTACTGCACTGCAGATCAGATTATCCTAGGTGACACCGGGTGGGCGGAGCCGGCTGGGCCGGGCCGGGCAGGGCTTACCGCTCGGTACAGCCCTCCGTGCCGGCAGCACACGGTGAAGGTTTTCACCGCGGGAGCCGGATCACTCGCCAAAAGGAGAGACTCCTCCAGCTCGATCTCCTTCTCGAGCTTCACCAGGACCGGGGGCTCCACGCCGTACCTGTGCACAGAGAGCGAGCACATTGGGCCCGAGCAGGAGAGCGGGGCAATGCGGCAAGATGGAAAAAGCCACACCGGCGGCCTCGACAGCATGCGATCCGGCCAACTCACGTAGACACGATCCTGCCGATCTCCAGCAGGCAGAGGCAGACCTGCCGAGGGTCTTTGTGCAGAACTGGAGGACAGACCGGCACGTAAGACCAGAGTTTGACCGTGTATGGTCACACAGACAGCCACACGGCAGACAACTCACTCACCCAAGCCTTCCGACTCAAAGAGGTAGGTGTCGTCCACCCCGATGGCCCGGCACCAGCGCAGGAAGTTGGCGGTGTTGTCTCGGGCAAAGAAGGAACCAGGCGAGGCGTCCTTCTTGCACACAAGCTTCTGCATAGGTATGTGCTGAGGAGATACACAGCTGTGAGCACGTGTGTGTCTCTGTGCGCACTTACGTATGTCAGGGACACACACACACACGCTGCATACCTGCCACTTGTCTGAGCGGCAGCTCTCACGGATCTTGTCCTGCAGCACTGACACTAGCCGGCAGAGTCGGACGCCATTGTCCAGGTCCTCCATGAAGCGCTCAGTTCTCACCTCCTCTCCTGCCGGGGAAAGATCCGGAAGCAGGAGGTGAGAGACTCGTCACCGGGTCCCACTGAGGCCCCCCCCCCCGGACATCGGGAGCTGACCTACCGAGCATGCCAGAGAGCCAGAGTGCCAAATCTTCCTGCATGGGCAGCAGTGTGGCCTCATGTCTCACGAGCAGCCACTGGTCATACTGAGAAACATCGGCAAGGCCGGGGCCATAACGTGAGTTCAGAGGGGACTGAGGGTTCTGCAGCTGGGCTGTGAACTGCTCCCCGAGGCACATCTGGAGAGGGAAGGAGGAGGTGCATCAGAATGGAGTGACAGACAGAAAGACCCCCACGATGATTTACTGTGTCCTGGTAAAAAAAAAATAACACTTCTCTGTACACTTCTCTCAGCGTTGCTGATGTGCCTGCATTTGCTAGGCTGGCATCAGAATGCAAGCGGAGACGCCCCCGCCTTGGCTCGTTCCCAGGAACGTGCTGCTATCCATAACCTTCACAAAACAGGAAAAGCGGGGCTGGCTGACGGCTGGCCCTGGAAACGCCAGACGGGACAGATCTGCATTCAGCCGTAACCTCAAACAGAGCCGTTCTAAATTCCACGGACTCAAAGGCGCGCCTGTTGGTACTGAATGGGCCTCACAGCTAGCGTGGAACAGGACCCCACGCTCACGTCCAGCAATCTGCAGCGTAACAAGCTTCCAAAACCAAGGCAACATGTAATATAACCACATCCTCGTCTGTCTTTGGCTATCTTGCCTCCTTCACCTAAACTCACTTGAAATTTGCAAAAAGAAATTCAATTAAAAAGCTTAACCTGCCATGCACATTGATGGCTGGTCTAACAGTGCTTGCTCACAGTCAGGAGCGCGTCCCAGCTGAGGCTGGCAATAGCATCCAGCTGGGAATGTGCCAACTGGCCCTCTGCATCCTCACCGATACAGCAAGCAGTTGAGAGCACCTCCCAAAGAGAGACCGCAACTTTAGCGCAAATTCGGAAGACGCGAGAGAAAACGAAGTTGAAACATTATTTATCTAACATTAAACTAAATAATGTATTTAATGTTAGATATAACTAATGCTACAGGTTTAAGCACCAACACAAGTACACCTGGGTGTGTGCTTTCTTCGCGTCAATAAAAAAAAAAAGAAAAGAAAACATGAATGCTGCCAAGCAGACCAATCACAGTTTTTCTTTTAAATACCCAATCATCACCCCTCTCTTTGGAGGACAACTTTATTTTTAATTAGCTGAACGATAGATCAATACAATAAGTGAAGCCACCAATCACAGTTCTTGGAGTCTGTTCCAGCGAGACACGTAGTTACATTTCAGGGGAGGTGCATGTCAAGCTATGGTGTGGGGCCCACAGCTACACCGCATTTACAGTGTCGATTCGACGCAGATGTATGAACCAGGCTTTACAGTCAATGTTTTGTTTCTCTCTAAAGACCTTTCCAGCTGAGAATAATGGCCTAAATGGCTGAGTTGAAAACTCAGGTTTCAAGTAAGTTAAAGAAATTCAAATATATACACATTTACTGAATTGTCATATGTAGTATAATTACACATATATGTTGATAAATCTAACACGTGCACACATACACACACAATACATATATATAATAATGCATGTGTTACATTTTGTTTTACAAAGTTAGGAAAGCTTTGTTTAAGGTTTAAGTTAAGCCTGATGTCTTCCACATAAAAGAATGAGCAGTCTCTTCCACACAGTGAGGCCTACAGGTTATTAATTACACACTGGTATTGGATCGGTACTCGGTATCTACCAATACCCAAAGCCCAGGGGTCAGTATTGGGACAGAAAAAGTGGAATCAGTGTATCCTTAGAGAAAACAAGATTAACACCCAGGCTGTCCTGAGTGAGGTGCTTGTTAAGATGACAGTGATAAGCAGCAATACTACTAATAAAGAAGCGGTGATTACATACCTGAAGTCCAGCCTGAACGGCCATCACTGCAATGTGAAAAAACGCACCACTTCCTTCTGCAAAAGAGACGCCTGTTACTCCCAACGTTCCCACAGGTCCAGGTCCGAGTGTGCGTGTGGGCACAATGTTGCCATTGTCCCTAACATGGGCCAGCACCCAAAGGAACAAGACCTTTCAGCCTCTCCTTCCCCCTACCCCTAAAAAGTCAGTGCCCGCTGCCCATTCCACCCACAAGAGAACCCAAAATACTTTACAGAGATACAAGGGCTTGGCCGCGAAATGCCAAGATGAAGGCGAAGGGCAGATGGCCACATACAGTTGAAAGAACAATGCAGCACACAGGGTCACCCACCAGAGGAATGCTCAGCATCCACTGGGCCCATGGGGTGGCAGAGGCAGCCACTGTACTGGAGAAGGACCCTGCTCTCAACTGAAGGTCAAAGCACAGCGAGGCAAAGCAGTGCCACAAAGGAGCGAGTGTGTTCTGTGTCCCGCCCAGAACGGGACACTGCTGTGCCACAGAACAACCATGGATGAAAGCTTCAGCTCAACACAGATCTGAACGTTAGGCGTCACAGAGCAGACAGGACAAACTATAAGGATATCAGCCCTGACCTTGTAGATGCCAAAGCCCCTCAAAGCCGCAGGAGAGAGAGCTGCAGGAACCTCAAATGCTTCAGCTAAACCAAACTGGTCCCAGCACCTTGGATGCTCATGCAATATGGGTGTGAGATTTATGACGTTAATACTTTCTGAATCATTGTTTATTTGTACTTCACACATAGCTTAAATTACAGTACCAATTAAAAATTAATTAAAACTCACAAATTTCCCTGTTCCAGCCCATCTTAAGCTGCACACAACAATCACTTAAGAGGATCAGGTGTACCTCCAACTGCCTCAAACAGAACAGTGTCAGCCTGCAGCATGACAGGGAACATGCCTGTTTGTGTGTGTGTGTGTGTGTATATGTTTGCGTGAGCGTGTTTACTCCTGTTTACCATTTGTTTTCTTCGATTCTACCTCGATGCCACTCCCTGACCACACCCACCAAAACATACGTCATCATTCATCACCCATCAATATCACACCTTGCCAACCAAACTCAAAACATCAGAGAAACAATGGATTTGCCCAACAATCTTCTTTAACCTGCCCAGGATGTATTTCTTGAACTGGTATTGGCTTTATTTTTTCATCTTTGATATCAATGCCTACAATTTTACTGTAATCTTTTTTTCAGTTGTATCCTGGGATACTGTATTTTTGTAATTTGCATTTTTCTTGAGAAGTTCAGTAAATGCATTATAGAGAAGCTCCTACATAAAAAGCATGCTTATGAACCGACTGTAATGAAGTTTAAAATGCACGGCAGAGAGCGCCATTTGGTAAAGGGGGTTTAAAAGCCTTGGTCGCCCCAAAGCTTGAGCTAATCCCCAACTACAGTGGAAGCCCTATAAACCAGAGTTAATCCAGGTTATGTAAACTTCAAAAGGCTGGGTCCCACCCAGCCTCCACGGGCCAGGGCTGCTGCCTTCTCGAACAATCATTCTGACTTCTTGTTAGCATTGGCGCTGCTGTCTAGAGCACACAACAAGCTGCTAACATCCACCCAACATGCAGTTACCATGTGGAGTCACCACCATGTCCCTGTCAGACCTGACTGAAGTGTACGATTCCCCATCAGAAAGATCTCGGGTAAGGAAATCAGGGCAGGTGAAACTAGGCATTGTTCCTATTGACAGTCTGAGAATAGCCCCCCTCCAGGTGCGAACACTCAACACCTCTCTAGGAAGCACCTGCTCTCCTTTCCTATCACACTTCTCTCTCGGGGCATAACAGGAAAACTAACCATTGTAACAATGTTCATTTGACTCTAGTAAAATTCATACCCTTCTTGGAAATAACCAGCATTCAAATATGACAACCACAGAGTGTGAATGGGTACTATAAAACAGTACTGTGTCCCACAAGGTGGAACTGGGTAAGCAGTTGGATCGTGCATGGATGGATACAGTATTACGGTACATTATAGAAATGGGATCACAGAGACATATTTCAATAAAACATACCAATGTTTACAGGGTTGCCAACTCACACATCCGGCGTGACAATCACGGTTTCAGACTTCCACCCTCAGCCAAGAAAACTTACGGCAAATCTATATCATTAAATGACAAACCCAAAATTAGCTACATCAAAAGCGTTGGGCAGTTTGCAAACCCTACGGACTATTTACAACGTAATAAAACTCTTACATGCATGTAAATGTCAGTACAGACTTGTCTCGAAAATTTCACTCTATAGCCAGCTGACCAAAGTTGGCAACCCTGTGTTTATTTCTCGCAATGACCTGCTTGCAAGAAAAGGCTCGACACCAGAACCAGAGTTCAAACACTACACATATAGAGGGGGGTTAATGAAACATTAACGGCAAGAGCTTGGCGATTTAAGGATATTTTAACTACGTTACATAATTTTCTAAATCCAAACAACAGATTTCAGACACGGAGACAGGTCAGACAACACCAAAAACTAACAGAATCGTGTCATTTCCCCTCTCCCCCATCGTTTCAGGGACAGTGAAAACACGCTGGTTCTGTTAGCAGCCAGGCTAAGCGAGCTGATCCGAACCCAACCGGGCTGAGCGGAGTCAATGACTAACGCAACGACACTCCGCAGCTCGGTCCAGCATCAAAGGACGAACTCATTCCGATACAACTATTAATTTAATTAAATACAATTCAAAAAGCACCTACGTCCGAAAGTCGATGGTACCCCGGCTTAATGTTTTATGAGCCCCCGCTTAATTTCCAGAACAGAAGGGGAACGCACATCCTTAACCGGGGAAGTGACGCCGACTCCCACAGCGGAGATACTTGTTGCATTTATTCCAACAGAAGAAGGAGGGAAAGCGCACGCAGTGAAATACCTGTGGGAGATTCGTACCAACACCAGCATCTGAAGTTCTGTTCCCGAAGGCACAGGCGCGGCGGTGTCTCTAGTCGTCCTCCCTAATCGGAAAGCCCGGCTGCTACGTACAGACTGGCGGTTACCGCCGTCCTCCCACAGCCGCAACTCCGCCAGCGCTTCGGCACGCGCTCGCTGGCTCGGGAGCGCCGTTCGAAACAGCCAATCACATCGGCCGGAATTCCGCTTGGAGCGCGAGAGGGAGGAGCCTGAGTCGATCCCGGCAGCTAGGGGGCGTGGCCAGCCAGTCCCCCCCTCGTGGGATTACAGCGTGGATATTTAAATTCTTCTAACAGTTACATGGTTTTTTCCAGGCAAACGCTGAACAGCGTAGTTCAACAAACTTGCTTTGGCCGAGTCCCTTTTAATCCATCTTAAGCGCTTCAGTTATTACTGGAGTAAGGGAACGAAAGCTGACAAACTTTACGTACTCCGCCTACTAGGCGTGTTAAAAGATATTCCCAAAATTTATCTTCTGGAACTACAAGCCCGAAGCCAATTCCAGAAAGAATTTTAGCGGGCATATTCTACATGTGATTCCAAGCCATCATCAAACACACACGTAGGGACCAAAGACGAACATGCAAACTCCATGATTAACAGGAACCAAACCTATGACCTTGGATCTGTGCTGCACCAAGGTTTCTCACTGAGGTACCACTGTCATATGTTTATTGTTGATCAAAATGTATAATACTGATAATATAGTCAAATGCTACGTCCCGGTCTAGGGGCGGGCGTAAACAGCGATAAGGTTCGGGAAACGGGGATCAGGCGTAACACAAGGTATTTTAAAATTAAATCTATTCTTGGCTGTTGAACAGCATGTTGAGTGCAGAAAGCTGGGGTGTTTGCAGGAAAACTAGCCTCCCTGACGAATTTGCCTCCATCTGGGTTTAAGAAGTGACAGAAACCATGAAGATCATAGGGTTCATCACAATGAAGATTGGGAATATTTACAAGAACTCTTACTATGCAGATCTGGATCTAGTACATGGAAATTTGCCACATGGACCAGGGAATGCTCGAACATGCCTCTCACAGAGGACTCACCCTGCAGATATCTTGGAGCTGAAGATTAGCCCACTGTTCATGAACCCAGTAGCTTTGGCCTGCTGGTTACACCCCATTCAGGAGTTTCGGAAACCCCACACAAAGACCGGAACCTACAGCTCAAATTCAACACCAAAGCACAGCTCTATCTGCAACAATATCTTATCATATTCTCATGCACTGCAGTCAGTCTAGACCAGGGGTGTCAAACTCCAGTCCTGGGGGGCCGGAGCCCTGTGTAGCTTAGTTCTTTCCCTGTTCCACCACAAATGATTCAGCTCAAGAGCTGTGTGGTAATTAGCACAAGGAGTTGAATCAGGTGTGTTAAATGAGGGGAAACCCAAAAATGTGCAGGGTTCCGGCCCCCCAGGACTGGAGTTTGACACCCCTAGTCTAGACTGTCAGTGGATTTGAAATCACCTTGTCAAGCTCTTTGGGGTGACTCTGTTGTGAAAGGCGCTATATTAAAATGAACTGAATATAATCCTTGTAAACATTTCTGGCATAAGATGATGGTTCTTTTTGTCACAATAAAAGACATGTTACAGCACCTGGGCCCTGGGGGGAGGAGGGAGAGGAAGGAACCATGGTAATTACCCTCCATTCCCCCCTCCCCCCCCATGCCAAAGCAAGCAGGAGCTGAGTGTGAGGTGCAGGATCTGCAAACGCGACTCGCACCACAGATGTAGTTACAGGACAAGCCGACCATCCCTGCCGGTGCTTACAGGGGATTGAACAGATGATCACTGTTTACATCACACATACATGTCTGTTTATTACCTCAGAAGATTAACATGGCTGGGGAGGGAACTTAGCCTTGGACCTCCATGGGGAGTCCTTTCCTGTCATTGGAGTGTGGTTCTCTCCTTTTCTTCCATTCATCCATGTTTTTACCTTTATATCATTAGCCATTGTTACGTCACGTTACCATGCCACTGTTCTTGTTGCCCCTTTATTAAGCACTTTGGAAGGAGACTGTAAATCAAAAGAAACAGGACTGAACTGAAGGCTCATCACCAGAGGTGCAGCGACAGGACAGGCACAGGCAAGGCAGCCAATTGCCTGGGGCCCTCGATCTGGGAGGAGGCCCCCGCGGGCGGCCAATTATGTAGTGCTTTGCAATGACAAATCTGCGTTACTTGTGTGTTCTGTTGTTCACAAAAGTGAAAATACATGACTTGTGTTTATTAAATTCTCTTTCTTGATATTTTTAATTCAGACTTCATGCTAAAATACTGGTAATGAATTTTAATTTGTCATGGGTGGGTGAGTTTTTTTTGCTTAAGACCCCCAGAGTCCCTAGAATTTTTCTTCCATGTAATTACTTGTCCTATTTAGGGTCACAGGGGGTCTGGAGCCTATCCCGGAGGCTACAGGACCAAAGCAGGGAACAACCCAGGATGGGGCGCCAACCCACTGCAAGGGGGACACACACACACACACATTTCTAAGTGAGATTTTATTCATTACTCAATACCAATGCAATACAATATCAATGCTTGAAATGACATTATTGACTGAAACAATTCGCATACAGTTAGATCCACAGTAAAAAGCCACGTATCGGAGAAAGAGGAAAAATAAGCAGGAAAAATTTGCTTGAAAACCTTTGAACTGAGCCCAATTAGTCGAGTCAGAATTTCCCTAGTGGAAAATTGCTAAATCTTGCCACTAGGTGGCAGTGTTGTCTCAGCTCGAACAGGATGAAGCTAAAGTCCACACACAGGTATTGTTGTGAAGTGTGTATACCATTTCGCAGTTTTCCCAATTATTACTCACAATGCTTAGCGACACAACATGTAGTTGAGATACTCATGGCCTTGGCTGCCCAGGATGCAAGGTCTCTTTCTCCTTCTCTGGGATACACAAGTGTGAAAAATCTCATTTATAGGTTGTTTTAGTCCCTTTTGCATTTTTTATGTCTTTTTATTTTGGAGAATGTGGTATATTATTGCGGTTGAATTTCTATTTCTTTTACTGGAAAATTTGTTGAATGAAAACAATGCCATTGATTATTTGCACCAGTAGTACTTATCTTTGATAAGGTTTCATGAGGGTTAAATGCTTTTTGCCTTGTATGTTTAAAAAGTCAAGTATTCTGAATGCCATTAAGCCCCCCCGTCAGCATTACCTAGACTAACCACACCTACTGAATTCGTTTATGTAAAGTACTGAGAACCACATGGTGATAAGTGTCCACCTGGGCAGACAGCACCCCCCCCCCACGGGGATGCAGAAGAAGCCCCATCAGCATGAGAAAGGAGGGATCACCATCATCATCAGAGAGGTCTCCGGCAGGCCGGCTCGCGTGCAGATGAAGGGATAAGGGGATAACCCTGAGTGACAGCTGCCGGCCACAACAGGGGGGGGGTCCCAACACAGAAATGTCAGCTGTCCCCAAGGGAGGGGGTGCCTATGATTCTGCGATTAGTGACAAAGAGCTCCCCGGCTCTGCAGAGCATTTCTCCGGGAAAACATTTCACGTCACTAAATGCTAATATTAAACAACACAGTGTAGCCTCACTGCAGGATTAATCCTGTACGGCACGGCCTCACTGCAGGGTTAACCCTGTACAGCATGGCTTCACTGCAGGGTTAATCCTGTTCCGCATGGCTTCACTGCAGGGTTAATCCTGTTCCGCACGGCTTCACTGCAGGGTTAATCTTGTACGGCATGGCCTCACTGCAGGGTTAATCCTGTTCCACGCGGCCTCACTTCAAGGTCAACCCTGTACAGCACGGCCTCGCTGCAGGGTTAACCCTGTTCCACACTGCCTCTCTACACGGTTAATCCTGTACAGCATGGCCTCACTGCAGGGTTAATCCTGTTCCGCACTGCCTCACTGCAGGGTTAATCCTGTACAGCATGGCCTCACTATATAGAACAGGCTACCCTGCAGTTGCTGAAGATGGCCATTGACTGGTGTGTGAAGGGAGACGCCACAAGCCCAACTTGGGGTGGGGGGGGCTTTCCAGACAGACCCAGTGAGACACAGAGATCAGCCAAATACCCTTCCTGGGAGAGTAACTGTATCTCCA